GAAACAGCTATCCAGTACTCCCTGCAGGTTTCCCAATGATTCTGTAACTGATGTCAGCTCATGATGAAATCCTTCAACCAATAATAATAATTGTGTGGTAATATCGTCGAAGTGTAATCAAGTACTGAAGATACGAAATGACATAACAATAATAATAATGATAATTGTGTAATGTAAATTAAGTGCAAGCGGGTAAGAATGGGCAGAGACAAGTAAAGTTCTTCTCAATAATATTGATTTTAGGAAAAACTAAATGTTCTTGTTTTCATTTAAAGATATACAAATTACTGTTTCGTTTTGGTCATGTTAAAAGTATTGATATCTTAATTATATGAATACTAAGGAAACCATTATTGATTTTGAAATATTTTGCAGTGATATTAATTTATCAGAATATCACCTTTAGGTTTGTCTTAATTGGTATTCTCTTCTTGCTGGACTCAAAATTTTATTATTATTAATATTAATATTATTGACCTGATTAACGATGCTGTTCTGACTTCTTCCAATGGGACAACTTAGCTTAAGGTCAGCTGGTTTTCTCTGGGATAAAGAGAAACACTGAATAATGAAATCAATTAGTCTGCTAAGAGTGAATTATATTTGAAATTTTTAAAAGCGTTTCACACATTTCATAGTAATATTTTTCCACTGAAAATCCATTTACACCGGATAATTTATCACTTATCTGACTTCAACTGGAAGCAATGAGATATTTCTTTTGAATAAAAAATCGCAATTTAGAATAATTGTGTTGTTTTTTTTGACTGTATTATTATTACTGTTACCTTGGATTCAGGGTGAAACATAGGGCTTCAACAGCAAATCCCCACTTCACTGTATTTTCCGCGATCTTTTTTAACTGGCTCGGTGATTGCCGTTATGCTTTCCTTTCATTCTCTAGCGATCTAGCGATCTCCACATCATCCTCCCACTAACACTCAACTGTACATTTCCCATTCGGTTGACAGTAGACAATCTGGCGTATGATTTCACTCAGCAGTCTCTGTGGAGTATATGCAGTTCATCTTCATATTTTTGCTGGAGAAAGATTATTGATTGGTTCATTAAAAAAGTTCTTTCTTGCCTATTCTTTCCGGTTAACAATCCGACTTTCAATGTCAAGTGAAAGGCTGATTTCAATAAAAGTTGAATGAGGTATAAAAAAAGGTTTGCGACACTGAGTAGTATTGATTATTATTATCATTGTTCCCTTGGGTTCCTAGTAGAAAACAGGGGTTCAACTGCACGCCTCCACTTGCTTCTGTCTTCTTCTGCACTTTTCACCTAGATCCATGTTAGTTCATACTCTTTCAGCTCCTCTTCACACGACCTCCTCCATGTCACACTTCGACGTCCCACTCACCGCTTCCCTTTCCCGTTCCACTCGAGCATTGGCCTGATGCGCGATGTCACCCAGCGGCCTTCTCAGCGAGTGTCCAATCCATCTCCACTTTCTCCTGCATATCTGTTGGGCGATTGGTGCCTGTTTCGTTTGTTCCCATAGTTTCTTGTTGGTGATTCTTTCCGGCCATCTAATCTTCAGTATGGAGCGAGGACAGTTGTTGATAAAGGTCTGCAACAGGCTGTTGGAAATATTCTTTGTGACCCACCAAGTTTCTGATCCGTATAGCAAAACTGACTTGAGGTTTGTATTGAAAATCCGAATTTTGTTGTTGATGCAGGCTGAGGGACGAAGATTTCCAGATTGGTTTCAGGTTGATGAATGTGTTTCTCGCCTTCCCGATTCTCGATTTGACATCTTCCTCCGTTCCTCGTGTAGTTGAGACAATGCTCTCTAGATAAGTGAATGAAGTAACCTCTTTCAAATCCCTCCCGTTGATGGTGATTGGCGCTGGATGTTGCTGATGCTGTTGTTGTTGTTGTTGGTTGATTATTTTCATAACCTCCGTCTTGTCTATGTTCACCTGGAGTCCTGTCTTCTCTGGCTGCTTCTTCGACCAGTTTGTCGGTTTTCGCTTGTAAGTCTTCGATCTTGTGTGACATCAAACATAAATCATCCACGCGCGAAATTCAGGTCTTCTAGGTTCTTCACGTCGGTCCAGGATATCCCTGTCTTCTCGTTTCCCACTGTCTGACGCATAATCCAGTCCACCACAATTAGGAATATCATTGGTGATAATAAGCACCCTTGTCTGACTCCTGTGTTTACTCCAAACGCCTCGCTGAGTTTTCCGTTGTGGATCACTTGACATGTGTCGTTGTCGTACAGCTGTTGAATAAGGTTGATGAATATTTCGGGTACGCCGTAGTACTCGAGTAGTTTCCAAATTACTTCGCGGTCAACGCTGTCGAAGGCCTTCTCAAAGTCTATAAAGTTGAGGTAGAGGTTTGACTGCCATTCCATGCTTTGTTCGATGATGATGCGTAGAGTTGCAATTTGGTCAGAAAATGATTTGCCTTTCGTGAATGCAGCTTGTTCTGGTCGGAATTCTGCATCTAGTGCGTCCTTTATTCTCTCCAGGATGATGCGACTCAGTGCGGGCTTGAATATGAAGTGAATTTGTTTGAAATCTCACAGAGAAAGACAAATTTAATCAACCATTTTAGAGAACACAACAGTATTGATACCATCTATCTAAGCTACAATAAATCATTTGCATTAAATATCAGCATTTAGAGGGATAAAAACATTTCGCATTCATTTTGTCAGTTTAAAGAAGGAATTTTAAGTATACAAGCAAATCCTACAAAAAATAGAGTATAGAAATTTGTAATTGACTCTTGGTATTTTTGATGTTGATTGACTGACACATGAGTTTTTCTTCGGTATGGGCAGCTGTTGTCGAAGAAAAAAAATACTCCCATTAGCAGAAGAATTTTTGACTTTTGGTCGAAGTTTTAAAAATCTACCTTGTTACTTTTTTGACTATATTGCTAAACCACCAATATGAGATAAATGACGTTAATATTTCCTTCAGATATGCCAGTATAGTTTAGATAATTGATTTTAGACCAGAGTCTGATAAAATTCAGTTTATTACGTCCACTTGAATGAAGGCTTAAGTATAATCTTATCGCTTCAAAGCCTATCAGTGTTATTCATAAGATTTCCATAGAGAAAGAAAGACCTGATTTCCAGCATGAAATGATATCATCATTCTATTTCACAGGTTCTCATCAGCTGCACACCACTACCTGAAATTACAATGGGTATAAATAATGACATTTTATACTTCAATGGTTGAAAGGCAATAGAGTAAACTTTATAAGATGGACGCATCCGGTGTATAAGCATTACAATTCGCTTTGGTTAAAGTCACCATCAATTTATATGCTTTCAAACTATGAAAACACAGTGCAATTACCAGACATCTTGTGGATAAGGGTTATTTTGTCGAGATATCCAAATTCTTCAAAATATTAAACATAAAAAGGACAGAGAATTTATCAGGATTTGGTGAAGCAGTTGCAATCAAACGTGTAGTGAATCTCTCATTCGCCTGGTAACCATATTACTTTGACTACACTGACTATTCATACACATTGGTGAGCTCAGCTCACTGAGAAAGTTTACATTTTGACAAATCTTAACTTTCTTGAGTTGCTATGTAGACGCCCAAGTTAACACTGTTTATAAGATTTTCCTACTTCCTGTCTTCTCTGACCCCCACTCCTCTTTCCATAGTTTGAAAGCATATAAATTGATGGTGACTTAAACTAAAGTGAATTGTAATGCTTTTATTCCAGATGCGTTCATCTTATAATGTTTTCTCTGTTACCTTTCAACCATTGGAGTATAAAATGTCATTATTTATACCCAATGTAATTTCAGGTAGTGGTGTGCAGCTGATGAGAACCCGTGAAATAGAATGATGATATCATTTCATGCTTAAAATCTGGTCTTTCTTTCTCTGTCGAAATTTATTAAGAAGAGAACGAAATGTATGAAATTCATAAGACGACTACTACTATTTTTCCCTTATGCATTTTGTTTCAAGAAAAGTGTGAAAGTTATAAATCGACAGCCTGAACGGTAGAAAAGATATGAGTCTCTCCCTGTTATTCATTCATATTTATGCTGTTTTGGTGTGGCTGTATTTTCTGAGTTGGGTTGCTTCATTGTCTTCCTAGACAGCATATTCAGTGCTTTGTGCATTGGTGGCACAGAAGTAGGATGTTCGCCGACCACGCATGTGATCCAGGGCTCGATTCCCGTCGACGCACTCCTTTACCTCGCCAAATCATTAGTAAGACTGATAAATAGGAAATAATAGGCATGAGGCTAGCAACCGCATCCCGTAAAAATAAATACCACTACCAGCGAAACTTCAGAGCTGTAGCCTGAAGCCCTAGGTTCCACTGAGAACGTACAGGAATAAAACAGTCTTCAATGGTAACTTCAAAACATCCATCTGAGCTGAAAATCATCTCAACTATTTCAGAATACTTGTGTTTTTCAGGTGAGTAAATTAATTAGCCTGATTTAGGTATGTGCTCTTCTTGAAAGGATTCATCGATATTGTCATGGTTACTGACTTGAAGTCCGTTGTTTTATGGTGGCGAGATGCTGAACTCGGGACGCACAGTTCACTGTACACCGTTGCACCATAAATGGGTCTCCGTTTCTGGGTAACGATTAGGACGAAATAAGCATCCTCGATAACATCGCTAACGAACGTCAACCAAATAATATTTTTTTTCCTTCACGTTCCCAGTGGAACATAGATCTTCAAGCTAGTGGCTTGAAGTTTCTGTTGCAGTGTTTATTTTACAGGATGGGGTTGCTAGCCTCATGCCCAACCTTTCCTCTTTACCAGCATTATTTCTGGCTTAGCGAGCGAGGTAAAGGAGTGCGTCTGTGGCCGGGGATCGAACCCCGAACCATGTGCATGGTCGGCGAGCGTCCTAACCGCTATACCAACGACGTAAATAATAATAAGATAATAATATATTTCATTATTTAATTGCATTTTCCATACAATTTCAGTTCACTCATATATTTCACTTTGTTTTATTCATCATTATACACTTTTTAGTCATTAATTTGCCTCTCACCATGGAATGTACTCGCTTTTCCTGTGGGCATAGAACAAAGATTATCTTTACTCGACTCCACGTCTACTGTTCATCCGCCCAGAACAGATGGTGACAGTATTTTGCATTCTTCAACAGGTGAACAAATTACAGCGTCTAGAACACAGTCAAATCTTAGTGCATCAATTGGACAATTAAATATACATCTATTTTCATCAGATAAAACAGGGCGAGTACATATTTGGAAAACAATACGACGATGTTTTAAACAACGTAAAGTTTTAGCCCTTCTTTTTGTTGGTGCAATAATAATTGCAGCTTTAATTATTCTACTTATTTTATTTATTGCGATATTTCCTAAAATGACAGGTGGATGATAACTATTACAAGGATTATTTCAAGTGGAAGTCGATTTTCCCTCTCTCACTCTCTCTATCTCTCTCTTGCTTTCTCTATATATTTCTTATTTTGTAGTTTCAAAATATTTTTAAGAAAAAGTAATGATTCTCACTAGAAAAGAGTTTTTTTAATTATACTTATGCAACCTTATAATGCAGTGTGTTACATTGTCAAAAAGCGATACAGACATTCTATTAAAGTGAAATCTGATGTTATCCTTTCAGTCTATAATATCGCCTACAATAGACCACCATGATAAGAGAAAAGGGAAAGCAAAAACAAAGTGAATATTTCCCAGTATTGGTTTGTAGAGATTTTGTTTGAATAGTTGAAGGATTTCATTATTAGCTGAAATCAGTTAGAGAACCGTTGGAAAGCCAAAGAGGAGTACCAGACAGCTGTTTCATCCCAGTCTGGGACTCCTCATCAGTATGCGCCCACTGAGGTCCGAACCCAGGACCTTCTGATTACAAGGGCAGCGAGTTCGTAGAACATTAAGCCACTGGGGACCAGCCCAGTGGTCCATGAATTTCAACTTCATGTTATGATTAAAATGGATAAAAGCATTAATATCCACTTAGTTTACAGCCATATATAGGTGTCGAATGTCGACCTAAATTTAGGCAAAAAAGAACACCAGGATCTCCATACAACTAATAGGAAACTCAGCATCGTGGCTGTTGGTCAAATCAAAATACTTAAACATTTCAATGAGATAAGCACTATCAAGCTGGAAACCTGATTTCTGGATAAAGTGTGATGTCTGCTTCTTGGTAGAACTTGAAAACAGCTGAACAGTCTGAGACTTATCAAAAATATTGCTCTTTTGTAAATGATAATTCTTCTCTCTACAAGTTATTTGTTGAACTGATCGACAAGGACTACTATATATTTTTACCATTCAGGTGATTTGATTTTTAGACAGTAATAAAGTTCATTGTACATAGATTTTCGGAATTATGACTAGCTAGTAAGATTAACGTGTCAGTGATTCAAGTGTAGAATGCTCACTAGCCACCTACATGGTTTGAATACGATTCCTAGCCGAAGAATCCTAAATTTCGCCTAATTTACTAGCTGATAGTGATCCTGGAACAGAAGGAAGTTCGGGCGTGAAGCTAACAAGCTCACTCCATAAAAACAATACCACTATTACTGAAATCCAAAAAAGCTTGAAGGCAATTAAAAAAGGTAAGATTAGTTATTGACACCATAATAGCAGTGAACTATGAAACTTGTCTGTCAGTGTATTAGACACTGAATGTTTCATATTAGTGAAGTAGATGCCATGCAAATCTTTTGCCTTATAAAATGACTAATGCTAGTGGCAGTGTGGAAGTAAGATAAGTCGCTGAAAAACAAAACACCTATTAACTCGTTATTCAGTAACTACGAGGTCATGTTCTACTAATGTGAACATCTGGTCAGAAGGAATGGATGTGCGTTGTTTTTATTGTTTCCTTGAGTTCTTAGTGAGACATAAATTTTCAACAACACATCTCCATTTCACTGCATTCTCTGCAATCCTTTTGGGCTGGCTCCATGACCACTCATAAGCTTTCATCTCCTGCTTACACGACCTCCTCTATGTCATCCTTGGATATACGATCAACTCATCATTTTCCATTCGAGTTCCACTCGACGGTCAACCTGCACCGCTATGTCACCAGATAGTCTACTTAGCTTGTTTCCAATTCATCTCCATTTTCTTCGGAATATTTGCTAGGTAATGGGTTCCAAGTTGGTTCGTTCGCAGAGTTTCTTGTTTCTGGTTCTTTCTGGTTGGCCATTTGGTACTCAATATGGAGCCAGAAATAGCAGCTGTTGATAAAAGTCTGCAGCCTGTTAGAAATGCTCTTCTTGACGCGCCAAGCTTCTTACCCAAATAGAAGAACTGACTTAACACTGGTGTTGGGTGCCAAAGATTTCCACACTTTCCGATTCTGGTTTAGACATCGTCATCTGTGTCGACTGCCTAAAGTTGAAGCGATTATTTTATTTATTTTAAACAAAAACCTGGCACAATATGTCACCAAGAAGATGCATTGCACAATAATAATAAAACAACATATAAAAATTCAAAATAGGTAGAGAATGAATAGAGGACTTTATCTGGGAAAAAGGAAGCGATATTTTGCAAAACCAGACGGCATTCGTCGAATTTTTTTCAGAAAAGGAAGGAAGAAGAAAGCTGTAGCACGTTCGCCATTGATTGAGATTCTTGACCATATCCGATAATGTTTCGAGTTGTCTCTCGGCCTCCACCCAGGGAATTGTGACGCAGCAACCGATGCTGAGCTAAATAACACAAATATCTTCCATCCCACGACGCGATGTCATGAGCTGACCACCTCTCCGCTTTTTCTATACCGCCCCATGACTAGCGAACAGAGACCTGAACGGAAGCCTCTGGGATGACATTCGCAGCACATGTCCAAGCCACCGGAGCCGGTGTTTCCAGATGACGACACTCGACGAGTGATGATCTCCATTGTGTCCAAACACACGCTGCCGGACCTCAGAATTACTCAGTCAATGATGCCATCGGATGCAAACAATCCTACGGAGACAGCGATGACCGAATAAGTAGAGTCGCCGCACATCCTCAGCTCGGAGAGGCCAGGTTTCACAGGCACAGAGCAAAACAGTGATCACTGAAATATTGTAAATCCAACCATTGACAGCCAGGCTTACATCTCGACAGCGCCAGAGGTGGCTTAAGTTAACGTATGCCACCCTAGCTTTCATGATGCGGTTGGAAATCTCGTCCGTAATACCTCCGATAGCACTCACAAAATTACCTAGATATATTGAACTTGTCAACAAATTCAAGCGATTCACCTGCACGAGTGAGTGCAGGTACAAGCTCCTGCCAACCTTGTAGCATTACCTTGCAATTTGACGGTGCAAAGCACATACTACACTTACAGACACTGGTGGCCAACTGATTAAGTGCGATATGGACAGCCTGCATGCTATCGCACAGTAAGACGATATCGTCAGCATACTCGAGGTCAAAAAGTCTTTCTCTAGGGGCAGATCTACACGACCACCACGTACGTCCTTCAGAGCTGACTCCAGATGGCAAAGTCAAAGAGGAATGGAGAAATTGGTCAACCTTTTCTAATACCACTATTGGTTGGGAACGTTAGTGATAGCTGGTTGTATGCCCTCACTCTACCTGAGGTATTTCTGTATATGGCTTTCAAGATGTTAACAAACTTCTCAGGTACACTCTTCTCCACCAGACAGTTCCAGAGAATAGTTCTATCCGACGAATCGTAGGCAGCACTAATATCAAGAAACACAACGACTGTTGCACTGCAATACGTGTGGCGGTGTTCCAACACCTGACGAAGGGTGGACACATGATCAATGAACCCAAAGACTGAAAGAAACTCAGCTGGTTCTTCGCGAATCGATTCCTCACGTGTTTTGCATACCCTTCGAATCAAGACAGCTGCCAATATTTCAGACGCAATCGGTAGCAAACTGATACCCCCATGGTTGTCACTTGTGTTAAATAGACCCTTTTTAAAGATGGGGGAGATGATGGCTTCATTCCACATTGATGGCACATCTTCATTTTCCCAAACATTCCTGAACAAACCCATCAAAGCCATGCCGAGAATCTCGCCACCATCTTTGAAAAGGGACTAAAGCTAAACTCTCTGGGTGGGGTGATTTGCGTCCCTTCAACACCTGGAGTTCATTCTGAACCTCCTCTCTGATTGGTGGGTCGGTACTGACCGACCAAGGAGCATTGCATCTGATAACGTTGGGCGCTGGCACTGGTGGCCAGCTAAACTACTTCTCAAAGTGCTCTGCCCAGCAGTCCAAACGTCTTTCCAGGCTGGTAACTGCGTGCCATCTGTCCCACAAACTGCCTCACTGACACTCGGTTTCTCGCTATCGGTGGACTGGAACAGCTTCCGAATGTTGCCAGACCCAGCAGCTGACTCCACCAAACACGCATGTTCTGACCACCAGGCTTCGCGGTACTTACGTAGACACTGTTTAATTTTGCACGTAAGCGCCTTTCGCATGTTGTTCTACCCGCTACCTGCCGAAATGGACCGGCATTTATACAGGAGTTGCAAGGAACTCGCAGAAACCCAGCGATGTTTAGAGGAGCGTTCTTTTAAGCCGCAGGTGGCTTCACTCACAGTTTACTTAGCACCTTGCAGATGTAGCCAATGTTCATCTATACTACTTGGGGGGTTGCTAGCAAGCTTCGATTGTAACTCAGACCAGTATTTCAAAGAGGTAGCAGGTAGATGACGCCATTTATTAACCACACCGAATCTCGAGACAAGCCCAGTACACACTAAGGCATGGTTGGAGTCCAGGCATGTGCTCCGGAAGGAGTCGCAGTCTTATATGCACCGTCGCCACCGAAAACTGACAGCAGTAGGACCAATCTAAGTTCAGGCTTGATTCACAGAGAGAGGGCGGCAGGTAGTGTTGCGGCGATGGCTGTGCCGGAAGTTGGTGCTGGCTAAAAATGGGTTGTGATCTGCGCAAAGCTACAGAAGATGGTCCCCATTACTTGACCTGCGACCATGTAATCCCCACTGACTACCTAGACAACTCTCCTCTGCGCCTAAACTCCAAACTTTTGCATTCTAGTCCCAAGCCAGCGCGACAGTACCTCTCTGACGCACTTGTTTCGCGAGATCGCTCCACTAGTTGTAAAATTCATCCTTAATTTCACCCGGGCTGCCATCCGTCGGTCCATAGGAAGAGACAACAAATAGGTACCACCTATCTAGCCTATCGCTCCTCACTCTTTTATAAGCTTCCAGCCTCACAGTACATAAACGACTGTTAATGGGGATCCATTTGAGTAATGCAGCTTCGGCTGTAGCACTTAGTGCGACACCGTCACCAGCTACGCCGGATGCAGACGCCACAAGGTCCTGGGATAAGCGCAGGTGGTACATACTATTGGAACTTTCAGATGGAGAAGATATTCGAA